TGAAAGTTATTTTCATTTATTATCCACATCCATTCTCAAATTTAAAAAACGATGTATGACGAAAACAAATGAAATACTAATTTATTGTTAAAAAACATCCGATACATTATGAAAAAAATTCTCATAGAAATGACATAAAAAAAGTTTTATTTCAGAACACTTTCATCATTAATATAAAATGTTTTAATTATTGTAACATCCGATGAATTGGTCCTCAAAAAGAAATTTTTTAATAACTTTTTATTTTGTTTGTCGACATTTTCATTGTTCCACGCTTTGTTAGTCCAAATCTTGATTGATTCTAAATTTAATTTTATAACTGCATTCGTTTTGATAGTTGACTGAGGTATCTAACATTGAAAAGAAATAGAAATTATCGTTAGAAATGAACTTTTCTTGAGCGTTAACAACAGTAAGTCGTAATGCGACCACAGATACTCATAATCACCTATATATATATAATGTTCTGTGTGTGTATCTGTTTCTTTGTGCCGAGTCAAAGATTAGATGAGGCTATAAGGGAAGGGTCAAAGGACTATTATATATCAAGGTACCCGTAGATCCTCAAGGGCTATTATATGGAGGTACCAGTAGGCCCTCAAGAGCTATTCTGTGGGAGTACTCATAGGTCCTCAAGAGCTATTATATGAGGGTATTCATAGACCTCTAAGAGCTATTATATAGAGGTACTCATAGGTCGTCAAGGGCTATTATATAGATGGGTCCACAAGAGTCATACGGGTGTAAGAGTACGAGGATGTAAGACTATTAGGTCTATATATATAATGCGAACTGGCTGATTGTCTATTACTCAATCAAGACTAAAGGACAGATGTGAAACTTTACAGGAAAAAGCATCCGTACAGTATGCACGGGCTCTCGCCGGTACAGATTAAGCTTTTTACTTCGGAGTGGATGGATGACAGAAAAATACAATATCTACAGTAGTTGACCCTTAAAATCTTCAAGCTATTAGCTACAAAATTTATATATTCAATAACGTTTTTATGCATACCAGGTAAAGTTGATGGTGTCTATTTTGATCAAAATGAATTGAATTAATAATCAAATTCTTTAATTTTGGTAGACAAGGTAATAATTCTTCAGTTAATGTCGAAAATGATAATTTTGTTCTTGTAGATGTATCATATTCAACAGGAATATCTATTGAAAAAAGTCAGATAAATAAAAAGAAGACGATACAATTTGAATAAGTTACCTCCAATAATAAGTGTTTCCAAATTACTCAATGATTTTTCTTGGTTTGATAAGTACTGGGATTCTAAATCAACATCATTGCTACGTGATTGAATGCCAAATTCACATCCACATGAATATGGTTTTACGTTTAAATTCAAATATTTTAATGATTCCATTTTTGATGATATTAATTGTCTACATAATCCTACAAAGATAAACTAATATTTCTTATCCTCTTTGAAGTTCAGAGGAATAAATAAAAATTCTATTAACTAATTGAAAAAATCACATTTAGATTTAAAATATATTGGAATAATTCCTTACGTTCTACATCATGACCGTGTTCTTCTGATTCGCTAATTTCTTGTAAAGTTAATCGTTGTAATGTTTTATACAATTTAGTTCTTCGATCAAATATTACATTAAATATAGGTTCAGCATGGATATCAAATAAGATTAAAGATTTTAATTTCGAAAATTTATCTTGAAATAAATTATCTTTTATTATTAAAGTAAACCTCTGTTCATTATTAGAACTAATTGATAATGGATAATTTTTAGTTATCGTTAAAAAATTATTTAATTTAAAACAAAATGTTAAAATATTTTCATCTGGAATTGAATCGAGATCAATAGAATTTTTTGTTTGTTGTAAAATCAATTTATTCACACGTTGATTTAAACAAGAGAATGTTTCACATAACCAATAGAAATTAAGATAATTAAAACAAATTAATATCACTTCATTTGGTAACTGTTCGAATTTTGTAATCATAACTGAATTCAAACTAAAGTTGATATGAAAGACGTCAAATGGACAATAATCATTTGTATCACTTACTTTTGATTATTAATTTTATCCATCTTCTGACGTTTTCTTTCCGACATTGAAATTTTGTCTTTCTATTTTCTCTACAGGTAGTTATAATGATAGTAACTGCACGGTGTTTTATATATACACGTATGTTATTACTCAACAGTGTGAAAGAACTTGTTTCGTTATATGATAACTATTCATCTGATTATTGTGAGTATTTTATCTATCTGACATCTGACACTATAAGATAATAACATTTATCGTAATTCAAAAAAAATGAATTCGATCGATAAGGATGTATGTTACAGAAAATATTGTCTAGGTAAATTTTTCATAAATTGATAACAATGTGTAAATATGTGTACGAAAACTTATGGAAATTTGCAAATATTTCATGATGATGAGCTGACGTCTTTCATCGCACAACTGAATTCAAATCATTCGTAATATATGGAGAAGAAATACACTCACACCCTCACCTTGTCATACATGAACTTCGGTTAACGTTTTTATCAATTGTGTCGTATGACCTCCGATAAATCCAATATTGTTCATCTATTTCATTTAATTTTTTCCATGGGTAAATCTCAAATCTCACTAGCATATTATTCGACGCTTCTGATTCGTTCTATGATAATATAAAACAGAAAATCAAATGTTAAATTGAGAAGATTAGTAAAAACAACCATCCTGTATGTCGTGACAGGCAACGAGGTCCGTGAGTCCATTGACTAATGAAACAACACACAAACATGAGTATTTTGCAGCTACAGAGAGAAAGACAACAGAACTGAAGTGTGATAAAGGACAACAGGGTGTTGATCAAGGGAAAACATGGTACTTTTGTACTTCAAAGTACCTCGAAGTACTTTAAAGTACAAAGTACGATGGTTCTCCTTTGAAATTTCGTCCATATAGCGTCTGACCAGCAGAAAAAATTCAATAAAAGAACACTCTTCCAAAAGAGTGGATGGATACTCATGGATTTACCTTTATAGGCATTAGTGGATGTTAGTGCTAGAGGAAAACAGCGAACTTTTGCACTTGAAGTTATTTCTCGCTATTTTGAAGTACTTTTAGTAAGTTTGAAACACTTTAAACAACTTTAAAGTACTCATATTTGTTCTATTTTGGAAATGCTTTCATGCAGACGGAATAAAAGTGGCCTATCTTCGGGAACGCAACATTGTTCAGTTCGAGTGACCAGAACTGGCTGACTAGCTCCACTTATTCGAGTTAAGCTAAGTGGTCACACATTTGCTAGTGTTTTTTCGATTTTTGACGGTAAATAAAGCAATCGTGTATATTTTTCTCCATGGGTTTTAGTTTTGTTCCATATATCTTCAATCCTTTGAGAACACTTTAGAAGACTTTCCGTGGTTTGAAGTGCTTTCAAGTACTTTGAACTATTTTTTTTACTTGGAGTCCACTGCTTTCCCTTTGACTCAATCGCAAGGTTAACAGAAAAGAACGTACCTTGATGAACTATACATCTGCAATACAACAATAACATGTATAGAGAAGCAAGAATAGAATGCCAAAGTGCATTTTTGTTCGAGATCATTTCTAACAACAATCGAACTTTAGTTTATCTCGAAGGAACGAGAGATAATAAGAGATCAACTTGAAAGTAGGGTGAGAAAGTTATTGTTATTTTTTTTTGTTATTATAACAATAACATTCACTTTTTGATTCAAAAACATTAATGAAACAAGTGTAAGCATAGTTTGTGCGTACGTCAAAAAATCACTTTATTCATACAGTATCTTTATTACCATTTGATATAAGAACCAGCCGTAAATATTTTGAGAAATTGTAAAATAACTTTTTTTGTTATTGTTATTGTTATTGTTACTGTTATTGTTATTTTTGTATAACAATAACAAAAAAAGTTATTTTACGATTTCTCAAAATTTTTACGGCTGGTTCTTATATCAAATGGTAATAAAGATACTGTATGAATAAAGTGATTTTTTGACGTACGTACAAACTATGCTTGCACTTGTTTCATTAATGTTTTTGAATCAAAAAATGAATGTTATTGTTATAATAACAAAAAAAAATAACAATAACTTTCTCACTCCTACTTGAAAGATGTGGTTGGGTTTATTGTTACTCTACGTTGTAAATATTACTAATTTAGCCAGCTCTCATTTTTTGTACACAAAAAATTCAAAGAAAGCTCAAAAGTAAGATAAATTCCAGAAAGTATTGCTGTATTCACAACACATACCGATTGTCTGGATGCTAAATGGAATATGACATAACATTCCAAATAGTTTCATTCAGATATAAGATCTTTACAAGTTAGAACAAATACAGCATAATGGCAACCATTTATTGATGCAAATGTTTTATCGCATGCAATAAATAAATGTGTTAAAAAAGGTCAACAAAGATTAAAAAATGAATTTGATTATAAAATGGTGTGGGTGTGGGTGTGAGTGCGAACGAAACAAAGCACTGACATCCACACTCTCGAAATAAAATTATTGGGTATATTACCAAATGATGATGGTGAAACAAGACG